TGCTATGCCATCCAAGAATTATGTTGACTTGCATATGAAAAGGGCAGCACAGGACCCAGACAGGAGCCGGATGGGATGCTGAGAACTAATTGACAGCATCGCCATTTCAAAAACAAACCCAAAAGCAGCATCACAGTCTCTGTCTTCCCTGTCACCCGCTCTTGGCACCAACTTTGATAGGAAAAGCTTACTATTTGTTTTGTACTGGATAACCCAGTACTAGAATTGTAAAAAATGTAAAGCGCAGGCCTGAGCAATGTTTACCAGAACCGAGAGCAGGGGGGCTCGCTTGCTCTCCGGAACTAATGCTCCTCTTACCTGTCTTGGGGACAGCAGGTCAGTTTTAGTCATATATTCTCTAAGGATTACGTACTAAAGCTACTACTGGTGAAAACTTAATTCTTGATGTAGGGCCTTGAAAGAGAATACTACTAGCTAGCAGATTTCTGCTTTAGGCACTTGCCTGTCACGCTTACACACATTACCCTCAGACGACTAGCCACAGAAAATGTGTTTTATGTTAACTGGGTCTAGACCGCTTTTTCCCTTTCATTTTGAATTTAAAAATAAAGACAGATTCTCTGCTGACAGTTGAACGGGCATAACCCTGACAAAGGGCCATACGCTGAGGATCATTTCTTCCCTTGATGATGAAATGAGCACTGTTTTGGTCCAAAAGACTGTTCTAACCAGAAAAATTCTATAGTAGCATCTAGAAAAGAAAAAAAAAAGGGGGGGGAATGCAGGTTTCTCACCAGTCTGTCAGTCTGTGTACTTTGTATCGTGAGCATTTGGGAAAGCCCCATCTACAACAAAGGGCTCCAAAATCCAGCTCAACTGCTCCAGCAGTTGCCTGTCCTTTGGCATCAACATCCAGAAGAGCCAATTCCCAATTTCACGTGCCTACCGATGTAATTTAAGCAAACCCTTTGTGTCTGATATACGATACAAACATTATTATATTTCTTAAGCTTTAAACTCCAGATTGTATTGTGTCCCCCAGCTGGCACACACAAAAATATAATGCAAGTTATGGCTGTTTTCAAACTTGTTCTGTTTTTTAAAACTCCTCTGAAGTTTCTTCCTCAGAAAACCTTACACCCCCTCATCTAATCATCATGTAATAAGTTTAAAATTCATACTGCTTGAGTAACAAAGCTCAGAAAAGATGATTAAGCTTCAGGGAGGGGAAAAAACACACGCATGAAGTAACGGCTCAAGAATTTAACTCCAAAAAGACTCCAAAAACTCTTTAAAGCACTAGCAAAAACGCCTTTGTTTGCCAGTACTAATAGATAAAAACCACAATAAATATAAAATATCAAGCTTCACAATTTCAGGGGCGTCTTAAACTGTTTATAGATGGGGAAGTCCTGCAGGTATTACCCAAAACTACATTGAATATCCGATAAACTACTATTTTACCTCATTTTAGCAGGTTACTCCACAAATACCCTAAAACTCATCAGGAAATGAAATTTCAGAAAACAACTCATTATTTATATTTTAATATTGATGCAATGTTTCTACTTCTCAACATGTATCTGCATTAATTTCAAATCTGTGATTTAAAAAAACTAATGGTTTATTTTTTCAAGCACAAAATAGATGTGCCACAGCACTTCAGTGATTAAAAAGAAAGTCTCTTCTGTAACTGTCTAAACATCCTCCAACTTCCAAACACAACCTTAGAGAGAAGTGTCAGGCTTAAACACGGGGATTAAACCTCCACAGCTCACATTCTAGTCCGTACTAGTCTTCTCCTCCTCCTTCTTACTCACAAGAAAACTCCAGGCAGTAAATGAATACGCAGCCCCAGGAGCCCTCACTGCAGTGCTAGAGGGTAACACTGGTCCTTTGAGAGACAGTGGTTTAGTATCTTCTAAGCTTCCCTAAACCATTTTCACATTTCTATAAATAAAGCTGCTTATCACTGTACTTAAGCTTCAGGAACTTTAATTAGACCAGGAATTCCTCTAATGATTAGATAAAGGCTGTGGCAATGGATTGGTAACAGCCTTAAACAAAAACAAAAGGATCTCTCCTCCTCTTTCTTCTTTACATGCATCTTACTTGGGAAAGTAATCAGTGTCAAATAAAAAAATTGCCAGAAAAGCCTCCTTTCAAATGCTTTAAGCTTCTGTTAACTAAGTGGAGAGGAAATGATATACCTCAGCACACCCTGTAAGTAACAATTCCAACTTTGCCTTGCACTTGGGGCCTAAAAAAATCATAGAAGTACTAAACTTCAAAAGAAAGTGTACACCAGATAAAAATTTGAAGTGCTAGACTCTTCAGCTGCTTTAGAGAGGAAAGCAGACTTCTGAAGCGTCCCGAGCTCAAACATTACAAGAAGACAAAGATTTACATCTGTAAAAGCCTTGTACATTACAGCATTCATCAACAAGAGTTAACTATTTAGTACTCCTTCCAGAGGGTTTATTGATGAAGCTGTATGTGTTTGACCTTGAACTGTTGCTGGATTATTGCACTCGCCTGCAGCAGTAGCTGTTTCCAGAGAAGCTGCTGAGCAGCGGTGAGATCTGCCAGGAGGACAGGGTGTCACATACTTGCTCATTGTGTTTACTCACTACCACAATCCAACTTTCCAGAGACAAGAAAACTACCGTGACTTGACAGTGGCTATTTACTGCTTTGTGAACTTGGCTAGGCGATCAAAGTTACTTTTAAAACGTGTAATCCATATGCAGATCTATTTTAAAAGCTGCACCACAATTAGCACTTAAGAACCACACAGTTTTACGCTAGTTGGGTCAAATTAATTTTATTATGCTCCATGATGAATTGCCACCAGTGCAACATCCTATTCACTGTACATTTCAAAAATTCACATACTAAAAATTTCAGTTTGATAAATGGAAAACTGAATGATTGAGAAGTTCTTACGGATTTCATACGTACAAGTGGCTAGCTGATATTGTCTATGCACATAGAGTGTTGAGATACAAAAGCCTCATGCTAGTTCGTTAATTGCTAAGGCTATCTGGACAGTCATTTAACCAGAATATATAAGAGAGGCCTTCATTACAATGTTTAGCAACAATGCACCAGTATCATGAAATGCTATCTTCTGCTCATAGTGCAAGTGGCAGAGTGCCGAAGCATGCAGTTATGACTAACTTAACTGCTGTTGCAGTCTTTATGCCTGAAATTTATCATGTACAAACACTACTTTAAAGTAAATATTAACCTGGACACCACAGAATGTGAGTGTACTTTCTGTATGAAGAAAAAGAAATAGAAAAACCCAAAGCTTTCTTCGGCCAGTATCTACAAATCAAGGTTTTATTCAATAAGGTAACTTCAGAGCTCCCAAAACCTGGAATAGAAGTATGATTAATGAACTGTGATGCTTAATTATTAACTATATTACAGAAATTCCAATTCTGGGAACATAACAGCTAAACATATCTAGTAAGTAGCATGTTAGGAAAACCTTTAGGCCTCATCTGCTTAATTTTAAAATGCCCTATATGCAGTAAAAAATAAGGGAGCAGTGCCAGAAGTTATATGAAAGCCATACAAATATTGTCCTTATACACAAGTTCTTAACTCCACTGCCATTAGCTACCCCAGGCTGCACTACACTTGATCCAATGCTCAAGCCGTTACAGCAGCAAAGCTAGGAGGAAGTGTTTCTAGCAGCAGAGGGCAATGAGAAAGTTATGTGCTTAAATTACTCTTGGAAGGAAGTTAGCATCCTCTGAATAATTTAACTACAACCTTACCTCTCCCACTACTTTTCAGCAACTTTCCTTTCTTCTCATATGACTAAATTAATTCGCTAAAGACTAGGTTATAACTGGGTTAGAAATCCAAGCCGTATCATGCAGGTCCAGCCTGTCAAGATCAGGTCAACACTGGGTTTCAGTCAATACAATTCCGATAACTTAAATTTAGTTTGATAGCTTGACTACAGTCAAAGACCCAGGACACTACGCATTAACTACGCTCCAAATATGACTGACTTAACTAAACATTCTGTGTCAGATAATGTGGTTTTTGAAAAGATTTTCTACCTGAAAGTTACAGTAAGTACAGTAATTAATGCTGCAGATAGTAAGTACCCACATAGCATAGATTAGTATTTTGTAATAGGCAGATATGCCAATGTTTACTGCACTACAAAGTACAACTTATATAAATGTGCAAGCTGTGAAATGAGAATCCCATTTTCCGTCCACTTATTCAAATATTATTCTTGTGAATTGGGCTCTTGATCTTCATCACGACCCTCGGTCTTAAAGCCAACATATGAAAGCAGAATATTGCCATAAAGTTCAGTAATTATTCAAAGTGTATATTCTGAGTTAATGGCTTTCCAACTTTATGGATGTAGGATTGGTGTTTCAGCATTTCTTGTGTACCATAACGCAAAGACTGCAAAGTAATACCACTTATGTTTACTTTATTAGTACACCAGTGTCCTACAAATTTTAAAAAGTACTTAAACATTATTGAAGCAAGCATTAAACGCAGCCCTTCAGCCTGAAAACACATAAAATTGATTTTAAAAATAAATCAAACTGTAGCAATTGCCAGCCTCCAGTATAGCCCCCAGTAATTTACACTTCTTCATTCCGAAAGTAAGAGCTGGGAAGGAGGGAGAAAAAAAAAAAAACAAACCCCAAAAGAAAGAAGACTGAACTTGTCTGCATCAAAGATGCCTTTACCACTATTACAATGTAAAGCCATCCTGTTTAACTTCAGATAGAGTTCCCTAACCGAAGGATTTAATTACTATTGCTGTTCAATAGCAGTCAGTATTGCTACCGTTAGGGCAAGGTAATCTTCACAACTAGCTGTGCATTTCTGTAGTGATTTTGTTTTATGTAAAGCATACTGCTAAGATTTGAACTGCAATGTTGTGATGTATTTGAAACCATGCAATAGTATAAACCAGCCTCAACATTCATGTAGCGTTGCATTTGAAATGAAGGGGCTAAATAAACTAAGAGCTGCATCACTTAAAGAACATAGTGCTATACTAGGTTTTAATAAGAAAATTTAGATACAGAAAAAGTAGGGTATGAAAATAGTGTTTTCCTTCTTGCATTATAACTAAATTACATTAAGGTTTTTGTCAGTCTCACATATTACATTTAAACTCCCTTATTGATGGAATGGAAAGTATTCACATGTACATGATCATCCAGGTGTAAACTTGCACACATTAACAGGGAGTAGCTTTGTAGAGGATTATGACAAACCTTTACAGATTAAATGAGGTATTGCACAGATTAATAAAAAAGCAAAAGGCAACAAAAATATACAGCAAATTGGTAGAACATTTACATGATAATTTTACAGAATCCGTAGACAGAAAGTAGTGTTTAGTATATCATTCACCTTAAAAAATATATATATATAATAATATATGATCAATCATCCCATTCGTCATCATCCTCAAAGTCTTCTTCATCGTCTTCATCCTCGTCTTCATCTGTAAGACAAAAAAACCAAGTCACTTGCATGCACCAAATTAACATGACAAAAGTGTTATTGATTTCTCCCTCAACTTTCTGAAAACAGAACAATCAGTTCAAGGAGGTCATGACAATACATTTGGTAATACTCTATTTTAAGATTTCTAGACAGGACATTTGGTTTAGACAGATACTAGCTGAAAGTTAAATCTCATTTGTTTCCTTTCTCACTCCTTTCCCCCCGTAGGAAATATGTATCTTGTTTTCTGCTATGCGAAAAAGAATCACAAGCTCTCATTTAACACTTACTACTTATTACTCTTTCTTAGAGAATATGAGAGTGGCCAGCTTGTTCCAGATTGGGTTTTAAACTTCAAGGGCAGATTAATTTCTGAAATGTAAGAACTGCTTTCCCAGTTTTACTACATAATGCGATTTCTGTTTACTGTACAAGCAGATAAAAAAAATAAATTGTGATCTAAAGTCTGCTGTGGTTACTGGAATATTCTCAGCTGTGTAATGCACATTAACTTCAACATCAATGATTGTTGTTAACTTTATTCAGCCTTCCACTATTTTTATATGTATCATAATTGAAAAATTGTAGTCTGTTAAACTACTTATTTGTTAGGCAAGGGCATTTCCTTCCCTAAGGAAGCGCTGTATTTAGCACTCTTCTGGTATTTAAAGTACCAATATTGGAGATGACTACATAGGGCACCAAATCAAACTATATTATATATCAAACTTAGTCAAACGGTCTGCAGAATGCAAGTCTGGTTCTGGTATCAAGGCAAGGTCGGGAAGAAAAACATATCAGAGCCTAAACAAAAGAGATGTAACCAAACAGCTGCACTGCAGCTACTGAACTGCATTTATTATAAGCTGGTATTTGAGAAATGCAAATCCTCTTGCAGCCTTATTTTTTCCAAGCACTGAAGTGTGAGAAGTTGATTCAGTATTAGTATGGGACTAGTCAAGTAACACCAGTTATCTGACTATTACCCAGCAGGTGGCATCCAAAGCACACTGGATGAGTCTTTGCAAGAGCTCTGGCTTCTAGAAATAAAGTATTAAAAACCTTCTTTCCAAAATATTTTTGACAACTTCTTTCACTGGAAATCTAGTGGATAAAAATAAGTCAGTCATAAAAAAAAAAAAGCAAAAAAAAAAAAGCTATTTATAAGAATATTAAGCTTGATTAGCAAATTTTAATTCAGTATTACTCCAAACTCCTATACACCAGAAATTCAAAGTAGCATGAAGTAACCATTCAACTCATCACGAGGGGTCTGCCTAGAGCATTCTGTATTGGACTATATGCTGAAATCCATGCTTTTTTCCAACAATAACTCTTGAAAACCTGACACCATGAGGTCAGAAAAATTTCATCAGACTCACCTGAAGAATGAATGGCTTTGCTCCTTTTCTGCATAACTTCCATTAATGCACCCACAATTCCTGAGGTGGGTGCAGGTGTAGGTGGTGCACTCTCCTGACCATCAGATACCTTGGAAAAAGGATACAATGGAAAGATGCAATTAGCAAAATAGAACCTGTGTAATGCGAGACAAACTTCCTGTTTAATGAGTTTATTTTCAGCCAGAAGGAAGAGTGAAACTGCAGTTTGTTTCTTTACCTCAAGCTGAGTTTTTATAAATAAAAAGTCAACCTTCTCTCTTTTGCCATATAATACAACTGCATTAGCTTATACTCAAGATTAAATATTTTAGCTCTGACTATCATGAAGTGAGTGCTCAGCTAAAGGAAAGCTTCTTAGTATGTGTGGCTGCTGAATTATTATTTGTTTTATCCTTGGTGTATACTGTCAAATATCTTTTCTTGTTTGCCTTTAACCAAGTCTTCTTTGGGTTGATAATCTCTTCGGAAAGTAGTAGACTTTGATACTGCATATCTGTAATGGCAAATAAATATTGACATGCCCTCGCACTGTTTACATCGAAACCTCAAGTGCAGAGGAGAGGCAAAAAAAAAAAAAAAAAAAGTGCTACAATGAATTATTTTGAAGATATTCAGTAACATCAAGAAGAAATAATAATAGTGATAGCCTGAGCTGCAGCAGGAACAGCAGAGGCATCGCTCACGGGCAGCACTTTTCCAGACACAGGCAGCCACCTTCTTACAAGCCTCAATGTTTGCTGAGCACAGGTCCATTTTAAGATGGGGGGGGGGGGGTGGAAATAAAAAAATCTAGTGTTGCCTTCCACTACCATTACCACTGAACTCATCCCCTTCAGTTGTTTAGACTATTTCACTGAAGTATTCAGGAGAACAGCAATCTTTCATAGTTCTTGCAAAAGTGCTTTACAGCCACAATACTGTGGTATCATCATTGTAGTATTTATGCTTAAAGCTTTACTGAAAAGCGAGAAATGAGTTTGAAACAAGGATAGTTTCATGTACCAATACTCATCTATAACAAATACGTGTTCTAAGCATTTTCTCAGTAGTACCGTTTAAAGCATCAGTTCAAAAACTCTAGACGTTATGATCCAGCCTGAAACAGAGCCACAAGTTACTGTTCACAGTGCAATACTGCAGCCATTTGCAAGTCCCAAGGGGACACAGGTGAGAAACAGCTTTTACTCACTGATTTCAGCTGTATACCCTGTCGTATCTGGTCTAACAGTGCATCTCTTCCTGAGCAGGACACCGGTCGACTGTTCTGTTCTACTTTCTTTAACTGAGCTCCTTCTCTGATTTGATCCAAGAGTGCTGCTTTGTTTCCTGCAGGAACTGGGAGCTGGTGATCAACCTCTGAAGGAAGGCCTGGTGGTGGAGGAGGACCAGGAGGGGGTGGAGGAGGAGGAGGTGGTGGAGGAACAGATGACCCACTTGCCGGCGGTGGCGGCGGTGGAGGAGGGCCGGATGGTGCAGATGATGAATGCACTGGTGGTGGTGGAGGATACATCCTGTTTGGAGGAGGTGGGGGCACTGTGGCACCAGGTCTAGATGGAGGTGGGGGCGGAGGTGCTGCTGTGGGAGCTCTTGAAGGAGGTGGAGGTGGTGCCCCTCGGCCCCTAGCAGGGGGAGGAGGAGGGCCCGAGCTATGGGGAGGTGGTGGTGGAGGTGGAGGGGGTCCTCCCCTGCACGGTGGTGGTGGAGGTGGAGCTGAAATGAAACAAAACAATTTCAGTTACATGCTACTCGGTACCCCTAAGTCTTTCAGAGACTACCAGAAAAAAGGCTTTGCCTTGCCTTTTGCAAGGATCTCTGTGCCTGTGCAAATTTTACCAAATCTAGATTAAGTTAAATATAGCTGAAGATAAGTTATGCTTATATGAATGCAAACCAAGCTGAATATAGCCCCTGTGTCTGTTGTGTATTTTGTAAAAGAATCAACACTGCAGGAAGCAAGTGCAATACATAAAAAGACTAAAGTCACAAAACAAGCTTGGCCATTAATTTTGGTTTGGTCCTGTGGCAGTAATTGTCTTCATAATCCAAGTGTATCTTAAGTTAGTGTTTCAATTTCTCACGACAAAATGCAGAAAAATTCTGAAAGAATCATCTGAAATTTTGTTGAGCTAGGACAGAAGGCAAGAGAAGGAGGTTTTAGAAAATACACTTAAAGTGAAATACAGAATTCCCACTTTATAATCTATCCATTATTTTATTAAGGAATTAGAGACAAATATTTTTTGAAGCATCATCTTCTAGCAACAAAAAAGTACTAATGCATTACGATGCAACATAAACTGACTCTTAGTCTCTTTTACTGAAAATTAGTTCCAACAATATCTTTATGGAAGGGACGGTAGAAAGGAAACAACTTCAGGGCTACCTCAATGCACAGGATCAGTTCTATATGAAGTGACCTTGAAATGTGCTTGCTCTGTTAATGGCATTTTAAATAGCACAGTTTCATTTCCTCTGCCATTAAGCATCTAATGGCTTATGGTACTTTAAGTTGTGTGATTGTTGCACGTAACTACTTAATAATCCAGGTGCCATCATACAACTAGAGAAAATTCACATTTGATTTCATATGCTTTGATAATGAAAAGGGTATTACACTCAAGAAGATACTTCTTTACCTCTTCTATTATCTCCTTCCTGTTACTGAGAAAGTAGCTGGCTGTGCTGGAAAAGAGGGGACATCCCTAAAAAAACCCCGTGATTTTGAAGAAATCGCCTCCTTCCCTGCTCATGCTAGAGTAACATACCCCTGTGTTTTACATGTTATGTTCTTAAGTTCCACAAATTGCTCTGTTTTTTATTCCATCCCTTCAAGAGAACAACATGGGGACAATCTCCTCTCAAACTTCATATATTTTGCAAGAGACATACTGCCAATACTCTTGATTAAAAAAAAAAAAAAAAAAAAATCGCACCAATTTTTGGCTAATATGACTGTAGTTTCCTTTTCGGCCACTGGAGGCCAGTATTTTCAAATATAACTTACTCAGCAAGCACTACATTCAGTTTTTTTGTATTACTGAAAAGATATAGAACATGGTCATGCTCCAGAGCGTGTAGATTTTGAACACAAGGTCTAAGTTTTCCTGTGGGGAAAGGTTTTGTCTGCATCGTATATAGAGAGATATACCACACCCAATCTTTGGAAATAGTTTAGGAGTTTTTATAAGGCTTGATTTCACTCTGCTGGAGTGAAATGAGGGAGGAGGAGCAAGCAGGGAGCTCCATTACCTCATCCTCTCTCCCTTCCCCCCCGCCCCCAAACAGATGGTACAAGCAAAGCAAGAAGATAATTTCATTTTTTATAAATGCACATTAATCTGAACATGGCTATTAACAAAAAAAATGTATGTCAAATCTTCTATTGATGGTATTCTCACTAAAAAACCCCAACCAACAGTACCAAAAATAAGGGAAGGGCAGGAAAAACAAGCAAGTAATTTCTATCTGAGCAGAGCAACATGTCTGCAATTCTCATCAGCATCCTAGCAGGGTAAATACATAAGCACAGAAATTCTTGCAACAAAACACAGAAAAATGTGTTTCGGTTGAGAAAGAGCACTTCAAACAGCAGTCAAGCCTACACAAATAACATAAGTTCAGATAAACCTACTGAAATACTGGAATATTTTATCTACCGCTATCAAACAGTGCAGAGGTAGATTATTATCATGCATGTTAAAGATGAGGCAGCTTTTCTTTCAATTGTATACATGCAAGTGGTCGCAACTTGAAGTTAACCCGTATGTAATAGAAAAATAGGCATTTTTAAAGTATTTTAAGCTAGTCATAAGACTAAGCCAAGTCTTCTCAATCCAATTTTATGGTCAGCAGTCTGGGATCAACAACTCTGTAAACATTTAAACAGAGTTAAGATTACGTAAAGAAACTGACAGATTTCTGAGGAAAAAAAATAACTGAAATTTTGCTTGCAATTTAACTATGGAGTTTGACTATAATTTTCAGTATTGCAGTCAAACAGATGTGGACTAAGGTTTCTCATCTAGGAAAGAAATCACACAGCAGCATGAATACTTTGAAGCATATGCTTAGATGCCAGCTCAAATACATACCGCTCCACCGTGGGGGACCTAAGGAATAAATGTAACAAGTCACTGTACCCTGAATCTCTATCTCTCCAGTCACTCGAACATTTTACTCGCTAGTTTCAAACTGCTGTAATTTCAATGGCATTTATATCCTATTTCTCTTGAGAAGTGTTCCAGGCAAATTTTGGAAGTTTGACATTGGCAGTCTAATTTTCAGACTGACTTGCTATGTTCCACTAGATAATGCATCAGTGAGATGGCATTTAAAGGTTAGGCAGGAAATGGCTTATTTGAGAATTTGTTCACAGCAGAACCTTGCTCAAAATTAGTACTTTTTAAATTAAAAAAACCCCTTTTTTTCTTTTTTGAATATTAATATAAAATTTGGAGGCCTCTAGCTGTTGCAAGGCTCATTACACAGTGATGCCAGGGTAAACAGGCACCACACATACACCTGTCAGACGTGCTACTACTACTACTATTGACAACAGCAATATTGCTTCTAAGTTTTTAACTTATTTACAAAATTTAGATTACAAAATAAATATGCAACATACACAGTCTGAAAAATCTATATGGAATATACTGCATAGCTTTACAGTCAGACTAAGCATTACTGGAAATTACTTAACTGACATTAGGTAAGATCCTTAATCATTAGGGAACTCTCACAGGTCAAGCATGAAATATTTTTACATAGCGTATGGTATACAGAAACTTTATGAAATCCAGTGCAACTGTGGTGACATGAAGTCCGGAGAATCAAAAATCACTCATCATCAACAGCTTCTACTCTAATCCTTAAGGCAAAAACTGCCCTGCTAATTTTTACATGGCAATAAAAGGAATCCTACCTTGTCTGCGTAGTTCATTTTTAACAGCTTCCACACCTCCTGTTTTTTCAATGAAATCATATATGACCTTTGAGGTTTCTTTGTCTTTTAGTTGAGCTTCTGAAATTCCACACATATCAAACAGGTTTTTCAGTTCTGGGTCTAAGTTGTTCACCTGCAAGTCAGATATGTTAGGTTTAAGTAGCTTGAAATAGAAGAATTTTTTAAAATTATCATTTGTATTGGGAAAAACCCCCACAAACTACATGGTTAAAAGGAACAGCAAAGCCAAAGACATGTCTCTGGGTTGACTTTTCAATCAGAAAGGACTATTTTAGGGGAGGTATGTACCCTGCACAAAACCTTAAGTTATGCATGTTTTCCCATCAATCCCAGATCTCTCCTACTCCCTTCTACTCCAGCATCTCTCTCTTTTTGAATCATATTATAAAAATCACAATTTGTAACTATTTTGATGTACAGTTAAGTTTATTTAATGCCAATCTTCACAACTTACATTAAAAAGCCTCTAAAGTTTTTAATTATTCAGTGTCTTGAATAACTTATTAAATTACTTACATCAAAACCTGTGTTTGGATCCCAACCAACATGTCCAATGTGTCTAAAAAAGCAGAAAAGTTAATTTAATCAGCATAAAAAGTACCTTGTTAACTAAAATAATAGGACACCAAGATAACTAGAGATTACTGTCAGGTATATAAGACACTAAGCAATTCTAACTTCTCAGTGCCCCACTTGAGAACAGAATAGTAAAGCTTCCTTTACTCTCCCTTTTTGTCTTGTGTCAAAAGACCAAGCAGAGAAGTTATTTTCCTCCATTAGGTTACAATCTGTGGCAAAACGTGAAGGCTCCACACCTCCCTGTGGTGCATACCGATGGTGATGGAAGGACTGCACAGAGATCAAGAGAGGAGTTTGGCCTTTACATAGTAACTGGACTTCAAGCTACTGCCAAGGTCTTGACTATCATACAGCTGGAAAACCTCCACCTCCCCACCATCGCTGTTTGTTCTCTCATCACCTTTCTCCTATTCACTTCTTTCAAAGAAAAGTCAGGACTGTTTTCAGCTGCCATCTTCCTAGGCTTCTAGTAGCCCTCACACGTAGCTACTAAAGTATTATTTTTAGTTGATTATAGCATCACATAAAAGCCAGAAGAGTTCGTGCCCTTCAAGCTACTTCATGCAACTGCTGTTGACTATAGAAGACAGAATCATCACATTACCAGCACTCCACATTCTGGATTTCTTTTTGCCAATGGCCAGTTCTAGAAACACAACCAGTCTTCAGGAAATCCAATTCAGAATTTTAAAAATACCAGGTGAGCCATTAGTAACCAACATGATCTAGACTAAGCTTGTCAAATTACAAGGACTGTTTCGCTGTCATACAGTGCCTAGTGCAACAGACCTTGTATTCTTGCTTGGGTCTGTTAGTACCACCAACAGCATAAGTATTCTTAATGAGATTACTGAAGCTCAATGATCGATTTTGGTCTTGGTATAACTATGATTAGTTAACTGCTTAGTTTGAAGGGCAAGCAGCAAAAAATCTGGTCTAAAAATTACATTATGCCACAGAAAAGGAAAAAAGGGAAGCCCCCTGTTTTGCCTAAATACTTAAATGCCTTTTACTACCAAAAGATAGGATGATTTATTGGTTACAGAATTCTGGATGTTAAGCTACAGCTTGCTTTACATAAATTAGACACACATTTCCTAAAACATAGTCCCATAACCAATTGTAATGTATTAACTGGCATATGGAAGTTGACAGAAATTTACCAGCAAATACAATCTTACCCATATATCTCTGCATATCTGTGCAATTCATGGTGCCCTTTTAAGAGGTTGTGGGCATACAATTCAGAGCTTAGTGTACTTGATATTATTAAAGTTTATAGGGAGTAGTGATAGGATTATTTCTCATTTATTTTTCATCCTTCAGAGTAAAATAAGTTACTTGTACACATTGACTGTAACACATTGTTTTCAGAGGTCTTTTTCAATGAAAATGCAGACTTACCAGGTAACTGCAACTCTTATGTTACTTAAAAGAATGTATACAGCAAGAAGTTATATTAATGTCAAGTATAGTTTGATTTTTTTTTTCTCAGAACACTGAAAGACCACATCTTTCTAACAGGAGGCATTTAAAAATTCTGTCTACTGATTGCAACCTTGATCTGGCATAAACAGTGACAGTGCTGGTCTTCCCCAGTATCACTGCACAAGTTACACACAAGTTGCCCTACTGGCACATTTGCCTAACAATGCCAAACACCAGTTCCCATATGTTTGTACAAAACCAGCAATTAAAGTATCTTACACAGCAAGATGACACTTCACTGCACTCTACAGAAAAGCATACTGGACCTTAAGCTGAACAAAATAGACTTTCAATCTTCTTTTGCAAAGCTTCATCACTTACAATTTAACATTACATTTAAAGATATGGGAACATATCTTTAATGAACTTCATTAAATATTTTATCATCTTATTCTCAGCTTCACTAGGTCTCCTTTAGTATTTTATGAGCGCACATAGTGTTTTGCAACAGTCAGAACCTGACAGACATTATAAACAAAGTCTCAAATTCATTTTATATCTGCACAACCTCTTCTACAAATTCCAATTTGAGGTAACACTAATGCAAATCATTATTTGCAATTTTGTCCGCATATGTCGAAATCTGCATCAGGAGAGCTACAACAGTGACCAGCTACCAATCACTATTCAATTTTCTTTCTTTCAGTTTTCATTCTTTTCTGCATTTTTCAAGTGACACGAATAGATGCAGCACTTCACTGATACTCAGATCAGAAAGAACGTGGTTTACGTCTGAACTGTCTACGCACAGTCTGGTTAGGGAAGCATTTTAGCCCGTCTCCTTTTACTTTCTGACCACTATCCCATTCTACAGAGCACTCTCTCAAAATGCTGTGCAGTAACATTCTGTAACTGGTAATACCAGCATCACTTTTATCGAGTTTTATTCTGGGAAGGCAGTCAGTGGGAGTGATACAAAATAATGGTTCAAAAGAACAAGACGTTCACTTGGCATGTAAACCTCACACTGGTTTTCTAGTACTTCACAGAAACTTATCCTTCCAGTAACTAACTCAAGTTCTTTAAATTCCTGTTACTTTAGCAAACAAAGTAGACTTATTTTAAAAGGCAGAAGATTAAAATATCAAATTATAGTTCAGGAAAACAATAGTTAACTTAGTGAACTGACCAAATACAAGCTTCAGTAAAGTGAAGCTTAAAATGATGCATCGTAACTATTCTATAAGGTTGAAGACACATAAGAAACAATATCAGAAAAAACCCAACCCATTCCTAAAAAGCATGTACATGCACACTGTCCTTTTGTCATAAGATACAGGTACTAGCCCACATTCCAGAATAAGTAAGCTTGTAAACAGAAAGTCAGAGATAAAGCTATGGCTATGTCGTTTCTGCTGTTATGACAAGGCAGGACCACATGTATTTTGTATGATGAAGCACAGCTCAGCAGGCACAGCTGTAAGAACAGCACTGTTACAGAGTTGACCACTGAGGTTGAATCGGAGTCTGTGCTGAATTGACCACTTTAAAAAGACATTTTTATGCAGCTAAATTGTTTCTAAAGTATTTTAGGATAGCAAGTTGTTTCTTGTTTACAGTAAACTCCTCACCTGTGTATAAACTAACTTGCTTTTACACCCCACAGCATTACAACTAGCATTCACTGTAGTTCAGGTTAAACACAATAGCCACACATTTAAGTCTTGAGGATTTGCAAAAATTTGACACACAACACCCCCCCCACCCCCCCCAAAAAAAGCAGCCCAACCCAAACCCAAACAAATTCTTACTGGAAATTAGATGGTGTTCCAATATCTGCCTTTGTCAATCTTCTTTTTTTAGTTTTTCCTTTCTTCTTTTCTTTGGTATATGAAATATTGTTGACTTGTGGAGTATAAAATCTGTTAGTTGTAATTTCTGGGTTTTTGATATCAACAGTTGCCATTGGTAGATTTGGGCCTGTGAAGGTAAAGTATGGGATTTTTATTACTGTGTTTCAAAAAAGCCATATTTAACCTACAAACCTTTTCGAGTGTCAAAATACTTGTTCTGTAGCCCTAGTTTTCCATGCCACATGCATCCGGCTGGGTTCAGAAACAAACTAAGTTATTTGCTGAAGAAAAAAGCAAAACAAGACATATTGCTAGAGCAGAGCAATGGCAGAAAAAAATTTCTAAACTAGAATTTGATTTTTACAAATTTGGCCATGAAAGTAATTCTAAACTCAAGAGCTTTCATGTGCACAGAACACATGGAAAGAGACACATTAAGGTACAGCACAGCTACAAGGATTAAAGAAGTGAGTGCCATAAACAGTAACCCCAGCGCACCATTATCTTGTCAGCACAGTAAATTGATCTTAAAGGCAAGGGAATCTTCGCTTAATAAGCCCCAAGAGGGACCACTTTCTGCCATCACACACAGAACTAGAGTATCACAAGAACTTCAGATGGCTGCTCTGGACACACTATTGTCTTCAAATGTATGATTTTGCATTTCTTAATCTTTGACAGGTTTGTGAAAGAAATTAAAGTCCCAGATAAGAAACAAAGCATGAAGAGCAGTGACAGTGAAAATAGCACCAGAAATAGAAATTAAACACTCAAATCATTAATGATGTTCTCAAACCTTGTTCTTCATTATAAACAATTCCAGATTACTACTCTCATTATTTAAAATGCATCGGAATTACACTCCTGCCAATTTCAGCATTTTAGTATTATATTACTTGGGCAATACTAGCAAATACACCTAGTACGTTTACCACTCAGGTTTTTTAGTTTTGACAGAAGATAACCCTTGACATAAGTGACAGTAGTATTTAAATATTAAGAGGCAGTTTATGCATTTTTCATACACACGCACGTAGATGTGTATTTTTAAAGAAACCCGTGAAAAGGGTAAGTAATCTCATTCTTCCAAAACTGAAACTAAGCAGTCAATTTAAGACCAGTTTGGCCAGAAATAGTTTGAAAAGCATCCTCCACTGAGTTACTACCCAATGGCTAGCAAATCAATTAAAACAAGACTCATGCATCCAGTCTTACTGGGCAGATGATAAATAAAAACGTCTAGTTAAACATTGATAAATCTGAACCTTATTTTGACATTATTTTTTCATAACTGCATTTTGTATGGGTAATTCAAAGATCTCCTAAGCATTCTGAAAGCACCAACAAGCCTTAGGTTTCACAGTCCAAAGTCTAAATCATAAAGGAGAAGGAGACAATACAATAGATAACACAGCTGACATTTGGAGTTTAACACCTCAGTGGGAAGCACCTAGTACTGGCCAGACAAGAAACAAGAACAGAAACACAACACTGGGCTAGACAAAACACATCTAAAAATCACATGACAACACCTATGTTCCTGTAGGAGTCTTAAAGGACAAGATTTAAAACTGCAGGAAGAAATTCTAAAATGTTTTCTGCTAAGCAGAAATGCTTTGATCTAGAAATGTTATGACCTAGACAGCTGTCCTTTGAGAATCCCAAAACCACAAACTGACCACATACAACCAAGCAAAACAATGTGTACTGTTAAAGTCACACTTGAAGTTAACATTAATTCACTAATTGCCAAATATTATCACCTCAAAACTGAGCAAGTGGAGTTAAGTAAATCTTCAGGATTAGTTGAAAGTTACAGTCTTAATTTCATTAGACTAAAAACAAAAAATACTGTAGGTGTTAATTTTCGCTTTAATCACCTACTATACTTTCTCACCATTACAGTGATATTTGTAGTTTCAAAAACTATACTGAGGTTCAAAAAGAAACACGTACCTTAGCACATCTAGGAAATTCTTGATAGTCTTCTCACAGTTCCTAACAGTCTTTGAAATTACACCTTTTTGCATGTAAAATCCTAAAGTAACCATATATGGTTTTAACCATGCAAAGCAGTAGCCATTTGCAAATTGCAGTTTTATTCAGATGAGCTGAAATGAATGACTAATAGCCTGATACTAATAATATTCATACTAGAGATCACAGCAGACTCTAAAGATGAAAATTTTTCTTACCGTCAGGTTTAGACCTTAGATGTCCACGAGGGATAAAAGAACCTTGGAAAGAACTGTACTCTTCTAGAACTGCCATATTTATATCCAGTAAAATTCTTCCCATCATAAGACATGCACCTTCCCCATCAGGTGTAGATAACTCAATAAATGAAGACGAGAGAGGCACATAGAGCTCATCATTAGGAAGTACCTGACAGTACAGTGGCCTTAAGCATCCACTGTTATCAGTATCTGTAACATCTTCAGAAGGAGCTCCAGAAAATGTAGTACAGAACATTTTGAAATGTTAATTCTATGAAATTCTTTGTATTTTATTTAGAACCTCTCCAGGCATCTGTCTCAGACTACAGACAGCCCTACAATACATGCAAACTGCTCTAGTTAACATCTGAAACAAAATTCTGCCACATGATTCTTAAAGATTCCCTCAAAACCTAATTCTCTGACAAATCCTTACTTCATCCAGAACTTCACTAAGAGGTCAGTTCAACCACAATAACTCGTCTTTATTTGCATAAAGAGACCTAGCTATTACAAATGAGTGGAACATAAATACCAGGAAATTACAGACTAATACATTTTACATAACTGTTAATGCCAATTTGATTTTAATCCTGCAATTCTACAAAAAAAAAAAAAATCTTTAATCCGTGCCATTGAAAACGTCATACAAAAGAGACAGAGTGCTTTTTCCATGCAGCTTCAACGTATGCAGAAAATCCAGACAAACAAGCCCCACTAAAAATTCCCCACAGTATTTCAAGCATGGATCATGTGAGTACAGAAATGTGACTGCTCTTGTTTTTCAGTTTTAAAGGTAATTATGCACTGATACCCAATAGAAAAAAGCAGGTGTTCCTTCCCCCCGCCCCAGCAGAATTTCACTGCATATGGAAAGTAAAACAAGAACTAGCTAATCCTACAATAGGTTGTATATTATTAAAAAAAAAAACAACAAAACAAACCCAAACATCTGCTCTAGCCTGAATTCCAAATACTGAAATGCCAAGTCTGTACAGCGCATAACCACCCCAGGCTATTACCTGTACCCTGACCATGTCTCACCTGTGACTACAGAGGGCATGACCCCACTTAACTCTTTGTCAGCAGAGAAGCCAGGCATTATATAATTTGACAGAATCAGAAAAGAAAAATGGACAGGTTGTGAAAGAGTACATGGATGTCCCAGAGAAATGGTTTATTAAAAAGCAGAGATGCTCAGAACTTTGACTAGCAATTATAAAACTTGAATCACTGGGCATAAACCTATGTCTTTCACAGAATATTCAGGATAAAGGCATAGGACCAATGAATGCAAGTTTAGTATGTGAGTGTTTTTCTCAAAAACGTGGTTGCCTGAGGTCTTACAGGATGGATTACGGAGACTATTTTAAGTACAAAAGTTTTTGCAAGCTTAGTTTTTGCAGGTTTAGTTTTCTTAAATCTTATCCCAATCACAGATAGCAAACTAGACAAACAAATTTTTTGTGTTACTGTTGGTAACATTTACAGTAGAGACGAAGGCTAAATTTTTTGTGGTAGGTGGCACTACACAATCACCATTGCTGTTTTTCTTCCCCTCTGCGCTGCAGATACTGCTATCAGGGATGCACTGTTTAGTGAACAAAACCAAATGTTGCTCAAGAGACAGAACAGTTACAACCTCCTGAAAGCTCAGAAAAGCTGGTATGATTGTTTCAAAACTAAACAATCCAGTCCCAGCTGAAGGAATCGATACTAAAAATGCCTGGCCTAAACTGATGATTGTCTGAACTTCCTCAAAACTTAATGTTTATGAAAAAAAAAATAATTTTTCTGAGAAGTATTCCATATAGAGGGGGGTGGGGGGTTATTTGGATATATGACATCAGTAGTTCCCATAATTCAGGATTAGTTACGGATTACATATTTTGGTGACCTACTGAGATGCTTGGATGCCTCAGGTAGCACAAATTTAAGACTACCTCCTCAGGCCATGAGGGGACCTCAGTTGACTATACCATTGGCTCAAGCAGCAAACTAACATACAGTGATAGGACCTGTGATCTGGATCACCAACAGAAATACCACAGGAGAAATCACTTTGTAACTTCAGTGTGAATCTAGAGCTACAGAGACTCCAAACTTGATGTGCATTTTTCACTTGATTTTAGAATAGACGATACAAAAATTTTGGATCAAATTGATACATAGTTTTAACTCCTTCCATCAATTTAATGACAGGGGCTCCTGAGAAATCTGTATCTTCATGCTAGTCAGATGTATTCCTGAGAGGCAAATAGATTCAAATAATCCTTCATGCACCAAAAAAAAAAAAAA